ACACCCATTAGGGAGGAGTGACTTCAGATATATATAGCCCCCAAGGCATTCAGTACATTTAGAATTAGACCCCTAGATATATACATATCGAACACCCCTTGTAGTCATAGTAGAGGTTCATGATGCATAGACTGAACCAAAAATCAGTAAATAACTATACAGGTAGACCTTTAGTCATGATATCTGCGAACTGATGTGAGGATGACTGAAAGGTCCCTAATTTGGTTTTGGTAATTGAGTAATAATTTAGGTGGACTAATATGTGTTTATGTGAGATACATATATGATTAGTCCACAAGTACACTTGTGTGAGCAACTCATACCAAAGAGGTGAAAATGGCTTGGAAATGTTGCAAGGCTCACACATGCGATGAAGGAGCTCATTGTATATGAGACATGACATGGGGTCATGTAACTAGGTGGAGAAGATCAAGATGAGGCTTGGCTTGATGGATCGGTTGCGAGAGTGAAAAGCAAGTCGGAGGCTTTGAAGCGGTAAATCACGTGGCAGGAAAGCTTGAGCAAGACTTGGCGCCGATGGACTGAACCAACGGTGAAGAGCAAGTGAGGTCAAGATCGATGAACCAATAAGGTCATGTGATGATATGAAGTGGATCATATCAGTTGGTGATTGAGGTTGGTGCATGTGTTGCATCAATATTGGAGGAGATGGAATGGAATGCGTAAGGCAAAGGTATAACCTATAGGACATTTCATTTCACTGGTCAAAGGTTATGTAGAGAAGTGCATGACCGAATTTAGGATAGATAGTTGTACTATCAAGAGAGGCAAACTTGTTTGCATATCGGTCATCTAGGGCCACTTGAGCGATCTAACTTTGCATACGTGTTAGGATCGAGTGGCATGGTGAAAGAAGTGAAAATCCTTTGAAAAAATATTTGTGAAAGCTATCACATGTGCACAAGGTGGTGTATCACTTGGTGGTGTTGACACATTTGCAAAAGAGAAGAAGTTGGAAGCGAGGAGGAGTTCGTAGGGAGCTTGGGTTGCTTTCTAGACAACGATGAACTGTCTGCCCTTTTGGTGGCAGACTGTCCGCGGTCCTCAGACGCTGTCGATTGGGGACATCGGACGCGACACTTGTACTGTTCACGAGCTGATAGGTGAATGGCGGACTGTCCGCTGGTCATTTTCATTGGAGTGCAGAGTTACTAGGCTTTCTGTCACGACCGTTGGATGTCAACGGCAGACAGTCCGAGGCCAAATGGCGGACTGTCTGCCGCTCTTTTTCTTTGGCGCACGGTGTTGCTAGAACTCTGTCTAGGTTGTTGGAAAATCAATGGCGGATAGTCCAGGCCCTAGTGGCGAACTGTCCACAGTTCAAATTTCTGCGTCTAACGGCTAGTTCGCATTGAAGGGTGCGCTGTCCGGGAATTGACCCTAGACTGTCCCGCATAGCTGTTAGAGCTCATGAAAAGGGGAAAACACCTAGTTTCTTCCCCTACTCTATAAATAGAGGGGTGGCCGGCCCTTGGGGCTGGTTGAGCACCTTGGGGATGTGTTTCTCTTGAGTTGTGCTTGACTTTGGGCCTCTAACTCACATACGCTTGATAGTGATCATCAGATTAAGTGTGGGAGCGATTCCTAGTGCATTGCTTTGTGAGATTACATCGAGTGGCACTAGGTGATCGAGTTGCAAGTCGATGGTGCTTGTTACTCTTGGAGGTTGCCACCTCTTAAACGGTTTGGTGGTGAGTTCTCTGTCATGAAGTTCGCAAGAAGATTGTGCGGTGCTCTAGAGATGTGATTGTGAGGGGGTATTATGCTCGTTCCACGGGAGCCGCGAAGAGTAACTCTAGTAGAACGTGTCATTAAGTGCCCTCATCTTGTGGAGGTTCTTACGGCGCCCGAGCGACGAGCTAGGCGTGGTGCCTAGCTATAAGCGCGTGAACTCCCAAGTGAACCGACCGACACAACAAGGGCTAGCTTGTTGGCAAACACGTGAATCTTAGAATAAAAATCACCGTGTCAACATTGTTCTTTCCATTGGTTTGCAATCCCCTTACACAAGCTTATATTTATATATTCATATATATTATGCTTATATAGTTGCTCTTGCAATTAGTTAGCTTGTGTAGCTTACTAGTTATCTTTCTTACTTGTGTAGCATAGAAGTAGCTCCCTTGCATAGATAATTTGGTTTGAGTAGCCTTATTAGTTACATTGCTTAGTTTGTGTAGCTAAATAATTTGAGCTCTCTAATTTGGCTTGAGTAGCCTTGTTTTTATCATTGCTAGTGAGCTTAGGCTTTTGTGCTTTTGTATACTAGTTTGTGTAGGAGCTCTCCCGCTGCTTGAAGTACTACTTACATATGTTTGTGTGACCTTACTTCTAGAATTAATTAGACGAGCTCTAACTAGCCCGACACCTTTGTGCCGAATTAGGATCCTTCATAAGGTGCTTGAAAATATAGGCCATGTTCGCTTGAGCTTATCAGCCAGAATCAGCACTACTTTTTCAGCCATGTAATAGTGTTTTTCTCTCATAACAAATCAATCCTACAAATCAGCCGCATTAGCAATAAGTCCTGCCGAACAGGACCATAGATAGAGGGGGTGTAATCTTGACTAGACCGATAGTTTTAATTTCATATTTGTTTCGGTTAGCCGGTGCGATTAATTTTTAGAAAGGACTGTTCACCCCCTCTAGTCCGTCATCTTGACCCTACAACGACACATGCAGAACACGAACTTCACCAAGCGCGACCTTCTCGTAGACGAAGTGAATGTCGATCTCGATGTGCTTGGTTCGACGGTCATAAATAGGATTAGTTGTCATGTAAACAGCACTGACGTTGTCACATAAGACAACCATGGTGGAGGGTAGAGGTAGATGGAGCTCCCGGAGAAGCTGGCGCAACCAGTAGCACTTGGCGACGACACGGTACTCCGCTTTAGCACTGGAACGAGAGACGGTGGTGTGATGTTTGGACGACCAAGACACCAGATTGTCGCTAAGGTAGACACAGTAGCTCGACATGGAGCGGCGGGAGTCGGGGCACCTCGCCTAACAGACATCTGAGTATGCTGTGAGGGACTAGACAAGACTAGTGGCAATATGTAGACCATCAGAAAAGAGTGCCCTTGACGTAGCGGAGAATGCACTTGACGAGGGTAAGGTGTGGCTCCCGGGGGTCGTGCATGAAGAGGCACACCTGTTGGACCGCATGGACCAGGTCGGGGTGGGTGAGAGTAAGGTATTGTAGCGCTTCTCTAAGGGTGGTGGTTCTCTGTGCTCCAAGTCATTTTTTTGTTAGTTCTCTTCTTAGGTGGAGTTGTATTTACTTGCTCTAGTAAGGTTTTTTTTCGACCAAGTTGGTTCAAAGTCGGGCATGTAGTCGACTGTTGCACTCTCTCAGTTGGTAGTTTTTTTCCCGATTTCCATAAAAAAAAATAGACTATTTTTTTATTTTCTCCGTCTAATATAAAGGTGGCATAGTGTTGACAGACTCCCTTGGTGGGGAGAAAAAACAAAAACAAGGGTGGAAACTGCTGCTCTGGTATGCACATGGACAACGCGACAAAAGACCTGTGGTCAACGTTAATCGAAAGAAAAAGGTTTTCCAGAAGCTGAAATCATTTTCTTGACAATATACTACTACTACTAGTGGCCAGCATTCAACTCTGAACAATGTTATGAAGTCTGAACATTTCTTCAGAGTTTCAGACATCTTGAATCCATCCACACAATCGATCAGATTGCCCCGCTTGTTCTTCAATCTGATCGCGTGATGAACTCGCCATCCATAACCCTCCAGGCCTCTACATCTCCGGAGGCCTTCTCTCAGTTCTCTGTTATGGTCGCCATCTTCTTTCCCTTCTTCCCATTCTGCTATGGTCGCTAAGGATGGCAACGGGTCGGGTTCAGATCGGGTGGAGTCTCCGTGCACCCAAAACTGAAACCCGAAATCGAAACCCGAATCCACCCCGAAAACCGATTTGGGTGGAAATCCATCACCAAAACCAAACCCGCGGATACCCGAAACCTGCATATATATACACATATTCACATGTATAAATAAGAGGCAACAAATAATAAATATTTTCATGAGTCAACTTTAAATAAATTTAATAATCTAAGTAAACAAATTATTATTAGTATATTATAAAACATGAGTTTTAATTTCAAATAATTTATTTCGGATATCCACGGATGGAAAACCAAACCCGAAACCGAACCCGAATAGTTTCGGGGCCCCGAACCCGAAAACCGTGGGTGAAAAACCAACCTCAAACCCGAACCCACAGAACCTAAAACCCGCGGATATCCGTCCTAAACCCGATCCGTTGCCATCCTTAATGGTCGCCATCTAGCATCTAGCAGACTCACCACCACCCATACCAGGCCACCAGCCCTCGAGATCAAAATCCATGCATGGCCCCAGGCCCCCAGGCCCCACCAGGCAGGGGCAATCGGCTCGGGGGCACCATATAGGCAGATTAAGCCTCCCCTCGGCGACCCGTCGGTGGTGGAGAAGGAGAAGCGCAGATCGGCCACTCGTCCCCAGCCCGCAAAGCCCGTCAAACCCCGCCGCCCGTTGTAAAGAAGGACCTGCTTGTGCTGCGTACACCGTACGATCTCTCACGCTTTTTTTATGTTCTGTAGCGACGATCTTGTGTTAGGTTTATATCACATATTGAGTCGATCTAATTTTAGGTTTACAATACTTGCTGGTCAATCTAGACATTTTGTGTTCGAGTTGTTGATTCCTTGGGCAGAATTGAGATTGGTAGCGGAAAAAAAAAACTCATGATCATTACCCTTGGGTGTGGGGTGGAACTTTTTTTTTTTTGAATGTCAACGCGAGTTGTTTAAATCTATCAGCAGGAGAAAACGCCCCTAAATAAACTGCTGCATTTGCATGTATTTCAATTGAACTGAGACTAGAGGTTTCATAGATTTGTGACCTCTGTTTACTTGTATATATAATATCGTGCAATGATTATTCTCAATTAAAGGATTTGTTAGATCTGTTTACTATGTGCTGCTTTCTCCTCTTTAGGCGTAATTGGCTGTGTCAGGTGCTGCTGAGTCTGCATCTGCAAAAACTCTGCAAGACACCCAATGTTTTTGTCCTTGGAGGAGTTGCCCAACACCACGTCATTAGAATAGTCGATCCCTAACAGTCCACAAACAGTGCCACATAGTAAAACCATTGGGAGCTCATCCAGCACTTCCACATCCACTTGTCAGGAGCCTGTGGCAGGTGCTGCTGATTCCACACATGCTCCAGGTCTGCAAGAGCCAGATGGACCATCCTTGGATGAGTTTCTTGACAATTCATGTGAGCAGAAGCTTGTAGAAGGTGTTGTTTCATCCTTTGAGAAGTTGCTCGACACTACATCATATGAAGAATCAAACATCGCCAACCCACGGACAGTGACACAGAACTCCATTGATGTCACATCCAGAACATTCCCAACCAGGTCTGAAAATTTTGTGGCAGGTCCTGCTGACTCAACATCTGCACTAACTCTGCAAGAGCCAGATGTTTCATCCTCGGACGAGTATCTTGACAGTTCATCGGAAGAGTCGATCACTGACAGTCCACGGACATTGCCGCGTAACACCATTCATGGCTCTCCACCAACTCTTGGGCCTAATATTTTGATCTACCATCCTGCAAACTCATTTGAGGTGTTTTACATTAGGATTGACATGAGGGGATCTTTCTGGATATACCCTAATGTGGGTGGACCATTTCAGAGCATAGATGAAACTGAAATGCTATCAATAGCTTTCTTGATTTATGGCAGTGTGAAGCAAGGTAAAGTATCTGGACTTCGTTCTAGTTCGTTTATCTCCATTACAAGCAACTGTTGTTGATTATTGAACTCAAACAGGATTAGTACAACAAAGGGAGGTCCCAATTCATTAAGTAATGAGAATACCTGTAGTGAGAAGTGGCATTTGGCTCAAGCTATACTGGACCAGTTTAATGAGCAAAACAATCTTTTCAGGGTCTCTCTCTCTCCCCTCCCCCCTCTCCATCTCACACTCTCTCTCACTCTCTGATGCTACAGTTTTCTGTTGTTCTTATTTTAGAATCTTGCACATGAACTGGAAGATCTTTTGAGGAAGCAAAGGCTTTATGAGAATCACAGATGGTATTTTCATTTCAATTTCACAACAAAGCAGAAAGAAACTGATGATGACCAAAGCACTGGCAAGAAACTATTCTTTGCTGAAGTGTCGCATATGCAAGGAAAAAGTGACTGGGAGGTCAACTGTTGCCGCATGATCGAATTTGAAGCTAAGGGTATCCAATACTCTTTTATCTTAAATTAACCTTACATACTCGTGGCGGTGGTAAGGGGTTCATTGGTCTGAAGGAATATTTGTTTACATACATATATTTTGTAGTGATTTGCTTCGTGTGGCCTTCTGGTCACAGTTTTGCAACTCAAATCAAGAGAACCTGCATGTATGTATTTGACAATAGCTTATGTTGGCGCATAAAAATTGAGAAAAATACAGGTTCTGCTTGTGCTAGCTCTTCTGTTACATATAGTTGTAAATTCGTTGCTGAATGTTTTATATTATGTCGATTTGTTTATAGTAGTATCATCAGTTTGTTTGCCATTGTGCTATATTTGAGTATGTCATATCATTCGTGACCCCTGCAGTTTATGATCATGTAATATCTCAAACTGTTTCATGCACAGGACTGTGTACTTATTGCATTATACAATTTTCCTTACCTTAATTTACTTGGGTAATTAACATCTTTGTACGTGGTTGCTGATCTTATGTTTTTTTATTAGATGTAGATCTTTTTTGGCTAACTGTAGAGTATAATTTGCAATTCCTATTATACCAACAAGACAGTTTGTTTGCCTGTTGTTTTATGTTTTATTAGTAGTTTATTATATAGTACATGACCCTTGCAGTTCAAGTTCGTGCATTATCTTAAACTGCTATACAATTTTCTCTACCTTCAACTACTTGCTGTTTTTAACATCTTTTTGTGCATGGTTGCTGATATGTCTGTTTCTTGCATTCTTTCTTTATGAAGGTGGTCATTGTTTTGGCTGTAAAAACAATGGAAGTCCTGATATGCAGCACCCGGTTGAGACTGATGCATACACTGGTGGTCACTTGGATGGATATTTACCATTTGGTGGTTATTATGTGGTAAGCCGCTCTGATGATGATGTATGGTACTGATTCAGTTTCTTGTTTTCGTTTAGGTCATAATTTAATTTTGTTGGTACTTTGTTGCTAACCGCATGTGTTTCCCCCTATTCTACATACAGGAAGATGAAGATGAAGATGAAGATGAAGATGAAGACGAAGACGAAGGCGAAGATGTAGATGTAATGCAGGAAGAGTTTGAGGTATGCTTAAGCTGTATCTTCTGTTATATGTGCTACCTCCTGTCGAGAAAAACATGATTTTACAGACATGAAAAACATATTGTTTTCCTTGTCTGAACTACAAGTTACTTCACTGAAGGTAGTATATTGTAGTGCAATAGTGTGTTGTCTAACATGATGATTATTGAGTTTTAGCTAGTCGACTAAAACATATGTATTATTCTGTTTTTAAGCTTTTCTGGTCTGGGCCAATTATATTGTGTCAGTTGGATTACTTTTGTTACTGCTTCAGCCGAAATGCCTTGTTGGTCTAGGCCAATTATGATATGCACTCGTGTATGCAACTCGTAGAGTGTTTCAGAATATTACTAGTATACAGTTGCAACCTATCCTTGTAGCCACTCCAGCTGGTTGCCTTCCAGTTTGTTTGCCAAACGAATGTGCATGCCATATGGTAACTACAGCTATGCCTTTGTTTTTTGTACTGCCTCTTGTCCTTCAAGTGCCGATGGCATGGTTATTCTTAGTGATCTTTCTTGATTTCATATATTCATCTTGACTTCATGTTGAATGCACTGGTATATGTTTGCCGTTTGCGGTTCAGCAGCAGTGTTTGAGGTTCTGGTTGTCAATTGTCATCTTCGAATTTGTAAGTAAGCACTGAAAATCTAGTGGTGTCGCCTGGCCAGGGGAGGGGAAGAGGGAGCTGGGACAGAATCTCTGTATCTTTAGACTTGGGAGTGTCATCGATCTGTAGTGGTCTAGCGCACATATACCAGTGCATTCAACTGAACTCAAGAACTAAGGCACAGCATGGAGAGGAACTTTCATGCATACAATTCTGTGATGTGAGGACCAATAAATTGTGAACTTTTCTTGGTGAAAGACTTGAATCTGCTGGATGCCTGGATCTTAGTTGAAGTCCTTTCTTTTTCCTCCATTGTGCTTGGTGCATTGGAGGATTTGATGCTACAAGCCTACAACAACCCTTAACTGTGGAGCTGAACTGCACTGTAGGCATATGGTAATCGGGTGACTTTCAAGCCAGGTGTGTGGCAGCTACTCCAGCAGACGAAGGGTGCTGTACTGCAAATGGATGCTAGGAAGTGAAGTCTTCGAAATCATTGCCTGTTAGTTGAGACATCTTTAGGCTTGTGACTGGCATCTTGTTGATCTTGGATATGTGCAACTGAATCATCGACTTGCTTTGTTTAAACCTGATGCAAGTCAAGGTGCTTTGTTTAAACTGATGTATTTTTCCTAGCTCATATTGCTCTAATGAAGCCAGTTGTTACTCATGATTCAGATGTATCATATCCTACTTTTTTCTCTCTTCAATCTTGATTCTTATGCTCATGCCATGTGTAAGAAATATTCCTTTTCATTTTTTTTTTGTTGGCTTGGACTGCCTCCACGTTCTGTTGTTTACATGCAGGCATATTGGTGGTTCAGTGTCAGTGTGCAATCACACCGAAGTCCAGAATTTGCTGTTGAAGAAACTGCAAGAGTTTCTGTGATAAATTGCATGCCTCCAAATGGTGGTTCTCCATCTCCCATCGGATCCATGAGTTACTAGAAATACGAGTATGTTTCTTTGGGCCTGTTATTGTTGTGGTCTGTGGAACATTCTGCTGTTGTGGTTGTTGTGGGTACAGGAATCCTAGAGAATTTTTATTCTGCTGTTGTGGTTGTGGGTACAGGAAAGAGCTACGTCCTCTCTTTTTTTCCCGAGAATTTTTATTCTGCTGTTGTGGGGGTACAGGAAAGAGCTATGTCCTCTCTTTTTTCCCGAGAATTTTTATTCTGCCGTTGTGGCTGTGGGTACAGGAAAGAGCTAGGTACTCACTTTCTTTTGCCCTGAGTTTTTAAGTCTCTTGTAGCCATCCTTCAGTGTCAGCGAGTCACCCATTCTTTAGCCGGTGACGTCATGCATACGCAAACTCGCACGAAGGGCTTGAACATTATGATCGTTTATTTATTCGTTCAAATCATGCAGGAGAGCGACGTATCTTTGTCCCAGAAAGATTCATAATGCTAAGAACTTCAGAATGACCTTTTTATGTGCCAAGTGTGTCATCTTTTTCTAGACAAAAGGAAGTGCGGGTGGAAAGATTAAACCCACCATCATGCTTGCTGCCTAGTCATCTAGACGAGCTGTTACTTTCGTCGACAGAGTTGCACGTCTGATTGGACCAGACCATTTTTTTTCTCTCTCTCTAGATCAACTGCACAAGAGCCAGAATGCCAGATGGTGAGCAAGGCGGCGATGCAAAGTGCTACTTGGCCTACTCCTTTTCCCCGTGTCTACCTAACATGTGCGTGCCTTTGATCTCTAAAAGCGCTGAAAGCTCTAGTGTCCTCTTGTGCCATTAGTTTCTAGTGTAATTTAAGTAACTGCTTAAAAGTTAAACCTGGAAATTTCTATTAAAGGACAGTTAAATCTCATAGACATCGATGCATATGCATATTATTATTATGATCTCTGCAGCATATACCTCAGAATAGTTAATATCATAACACGATAACACGAGGATCTCTTTTTAAAAGCCAATATTAGTCTACTTGACTCGATTATTGTAAAACCAAAATTTCAAGCATGATTATTATATTAGGTGGAGTATTAGACGTCCAATAATGCTGCTGAAACGACTATAACTTTAGAAATACGGTAATTGTTGGATCCGAGCATTGGATTCTTTACTTGAGTATCGACTTAATTCATCCATCTCCCACTCCGCCGCCCGCCCCGCTCCTGTCGCAGCTCCTGGTGCGCGCCGCGAGCGGAGCAATTGCGCTCACCGGTCGCCGCGGGCCGTGAGTGGGGAGGCTTGAGTGCCGGACCGGAGGGCCAAGGCGCAACCTTGCGTCCGCGCGACGTCGTGAGTCCGTGAACTCACGAAGTGGGGGGAGGCGGGTCGCGCGTCGCGCGCCCCGCCTTATCGTTCCCGCTTCTGCCTGCCGTTCGTTCGCGCCCATTGCCGCCGCGCGTCCGCCTGCCGCTGCGTCTGCGTTGCTCTTGTTCCCGCCGCTTCGCCCCGCTTCGCCGGCGCAGAGCGAGCGAGCAGTGCCGCCCGATTGCAGGAGAAGCGCCGAGCCTTGGCGCGGAAGCCCTCCGGCCTCGCCTCCTGCTACGGCTGCAGCGCCCCAATGCAGACGGAGGAGGAGGCTGCACCGGGATATGATGCATGTTGCAAGTGTACATTTGAAATGTTTCATATGTTTTAGAGGTATGTTTCAAGTGTTTCACACGGATGTTGCATATGTTGCAATAGTTGTAGACGTATGTTGCAAGCGTCTGTCCCTAGTGTTTCATTTGTTTTTCCAGACGTATGTTGCAAGCGTGTGTTATCCAGATGTTGCATATGTTTCGCACATATGTTGCAAGTGTTTTATTTGGATGTTGCGTATGTTTGCAATGATTTTCAATTGTTTTTGTAAGTGTTTCAGATGCATGTTTCGAATATTTTATTTGTCTTTTTTTATGTTGTAAGTGTTGCATCTGAATGATTCAAAAATAAATCGGGTGTTGCACATGGGATACACGTGGGAAGCGGGAGAAGGCGTGAGCGGTCCCCGTGCGGGTGATGTTCAGGTGGCGCGGGCCCCCGCGTGGCTGTGGGTGACATAGGCGCGGTCAAGCGACGTCCGGGCGGCACGGGCCCACGCGTGGACGTGCGAAACGGAGGGGAAACCGACTGCAGCGTGGGCGTCCGTCCAAACGTCCAGGCGTTAGAAGCGCCCTTATACACAAAACAAGAGCCGCATTTGAACGAAAACTCGTAATACTACAACATAAATATACACCATATGTTTTAAACATATGGTTACACTCAAACTAAATTTGAACTATTACGTACAAAGTATCTCTCTTATTGAACGGCTTGTAAAATAACCATTATAGATCCTGTTTTTGTATATATAGAAGAAACCAGGCCGAGGCAGCTGCCGCCGCAGCCGCCGCAGAAGAAGCCACCACAGTTTTTCGACAAAGAAGAATTATTTTAAGGATGGTGGTACTTCCAGTAATTAAGCAAGTTCCTAGATTTGAACGAAACGAAACCAGCAGAGCGCACACAGTCCTTGCACCACGGAACAAGAAACCGCAGCCCCGTCCCGTGGAAACCGAGGGCGGAAGGAGCTTCCCCTCCTCCAAGCGCGGGGCCAGGCCACCGACGAGCGGGCTCCACCCGCTCAAACATCTGTCACCGCCAGGTGGCCCCGGTCCATCCCTCCGCGGCCTCTTCTCTTCTACCGATGGGGGAATTTCTCGTGTGCATTAAAAAAGATCGTAATGCTTATGTGTCCTTAAAAAAGTTTAGCGGACTTCAGCATCATTGTTCTAATTTTTTTTTTGTCTTTAATACCACTGCAGTCAGTTTTGGCTTTAACGCCGTCAAAACTGTAGATATGAAAAATAAAAAATACCCTTATGTTTAAATATAACATTAATTTTTGTGAGCATCTTAATAACTTTAAATGAAAAAACTCAAAACTAGAAAGTTGTAGATATCATCGAGATCTATAATTTTCATATAAAAATTATTTTTATTTAATTTAAAAAAAAAGATATAATTTTTCTAAGATATATTAATTATATCAAATCATTTTTTGTGAAATTAAATGAAGATAATTTTTATATCAAAATGATAGATCTCGACGAGATCTATAACTTTATAGTTTTGAGTTTTTTTATTTGAAGTCGTTAAGATGCTAAAAAAATTAATAATATATTTAGATATAAGAGTATTTTCGATTTTCCACGCTCTACGACTCGACGACGTTAGACCTCAAACTGAAACGACGACAGTGGTATGGAGAGAAAAAAAAAAGTTAAAGACTGTTGAGCTTTTCTACTATTTTTTTTTTAATGGCGGACGAGGAATTCCCCTCTGCAAATGAGGCCTCTCTACAAATAGCCCGGCCGGCCGCGGCCGCTCCCGAATCGAACGGCGAGGCAAAAGCGCAAGCAAACGCGACCACAGATAGCGAGCGAGAGCTTCTAGGCCGCCTTTTCGAGAGGAGGAGGAGGTAGCTCTCGGCCAGGAGAGGAGATGGCGGTCACGATCACGTGGGTGAAGGCGAGGCAGATCTTCGACAGCCGCGGCAACCCCACCGTCGAGGTGCGTTCGTTTTTGCTGATGAGTCTTCCAGGGGGCTGTGAATTTGGTGATCTGTTCCGATTCGCCGCGTCGCTGTGCCGATGTGCTCCGGTTTTGTTTTCCTATGATATGATGAATCTGGATTAACTGCAGGTGGACATCGGCCTCAGCGACGGCAGCTTCGCGAGGGGGGCCGTGCCCAGCGGCGCATCCACTGGTACGTCTGTCTGCCTGCCTCTGCTCTACTCCATCCACCAGCGTGCTCTGTTCCTGAGCGACTGCTTGGTTTGCTTGATCTTGTCGTGTCGAGGGATTCGAGCGGTGTCTGAGATCGTCGATGCTGTGTGGCTCTGTGACATGTATACTGTGCATTTGTTGTTGGTTGTGGGGGATAATAACAGTACTTCATCATGTTGAACTGGCTAGGACTGAGATGTGTGCGCGGTTGTCTTGTTGCTAGATCTGATTGATGCGTATATTCTTGTCCTAAGTTTTCAGTCTGTTCTCCGCCGCCATGACCGGCGCGTGTTTGGAACCTGCTGTTTTTTACTGCGCGAATTGAAATACTCCCTGCGAAATTATTTCTATGTTTGGAGGTTTATAAAAATCAGCTTATTCGTTTCAAAGCAGAGCCTAAGAGTGTTTAGAAACATGTCAGCAGAATCATCACCGTCATGACGTGGTTAGCTGATCTGAAAATTGCTTACCTTCTGGATCTCTTAATGAAGCAGAAGACAACCTTGACTTTTGAACTTCTATTATTATACTGTCCACTACTAATTAGAATGTTTTTCAGATATAATGTGATTTATTTATCTATTTATTTTCAGTTACACTTCTCTGAACCTTGCTTCAATCATCGATTATAAGCATGATTTTGTTTTCAAATAACACAGAAAGAATGCAGTAAAGCCAATAGACCTTCCCTGAAGTATTCTTATCTAATGAATCAAAAAACATATTTATATGTGATACCATGCCATTTAATCATTTGGACATGTTAGCAACATAGAAAAAGACAAATACTTTTCATATTAGATGTGGTATTATGGGGCGTCAACATCTGCTATTTCGTTTGGAATGGACTTTTTGTGAAATTTCAGTTTGTGGTCCAGACACCTTTACATATTAGATATGGTACTATGGGATGTCAGTATCTGCTATTTCGTTTGGAATGGACTTTTTGGGAAATTTCAGTTTGTGGTCACAGACACCTTTACTTTTTGAATAGGTTGCCTTCGTAGTTGTCTCAAATTCCATATGTTACACATCTAATGCACAGAATTTTGACATTTTTATCTTTGAACAATTGACCTCTCTCAGGAATATATGAGGCCTTGGAGTTAAGGGATGGAGGATCTGATTATCTTGGCAAGGGTGTTCTTAAGGTTAGTTAACCAGCCAATTTTTCCATTTCAGCCTGAGCAAGGGTATAATAGTAGATGTATTTGCCATGCACTCGCATGCACCGTAGTCATTCATGCATCCAGTGGTCATGGTTAACTTATATAATAGAAACCAACATGTGTATCCTCCCCCTTTTATTTGCGATAAAATTGATTTGAGAACCTATTTTAAGGCTATGCTCTAAACTTCAGCTGACTAATATTACTACGTAGCTTTTGGCTCAAAATTTGAATCCACAGCTAACTTGTGTCGGTGATTGCAACCATTCTGTTTTTGATGGGTTGTTTTCTTTTTCCACATAATAAGTCGTATTGTCTTCTGCTAGGCTGTGAGCAATGTAAATAGCATTATTGGACCAGCAATTGTTGGAAAGGTATGTATCTCAATTCTAAAGTTACATGAT